TGATTTTCGATGATTCTCCTGACATGTTACCTGGACAATTAGATTTCTTAGGTTTTGATTTATTATTTTTGTTTTCTTTAATTTATGATGGGATTTATTTTAAATTGTTGATAAACCCAATCAGTGTAACACCTGTTTTCCAAGATGGATTTATTTACGGTTTCAAAGAGTCAAAAGGTTGATTTTTGGAGAAAATCGAGTGTTACAACGTGACCATTGGGTGTTCACACTATGACAAGAGTAAATATGAGAAACGCGTTTCAGGACCAATCTCATGACACGAGGCATAAGTTCTCACAACATGAGGCATAAGGTCTCACGACGTGAGAACTACTGTAGCCCAAGTCCATGATCTTTTAGGTTTTCCTTCGTATTTAAGCCCCTCTAAGTCATTTTTAGGGTTCATTACCAGCCTCAAACACCCTTTTTACCTTAGAAAAACCCTAGCCCTAATTCCCATGGTGATTCTTGGCCTTTTGGAGCATTTGTTGGCTTGAAGAAGGAGAGGAATGTGCTCTATTAGTGGAACTTGCAAGGAAACAACATCATCAACGTCTCATATTCTTTCTAGATCTTTGTAAGTGTCAAAGCCTCAAATTTTATTGCTTAAAGTGGTTAGATCTAAGTTGTTATCCCATGTTTTTTTCATGTTCAAGCAAGTTTGAATGGAAGGAACACATAAAGTTGGCAACTTTATGATTTCCAAGGGTCCCTTGAGTATGATAATCTTCAGATCTAGAAGTTGGTTGAGGATTGGATTCATATATATGAGTTTTGGTGCAATCTCTTCATGTTTAACCTAGAATGGATAGAGGAAATGCATAAGGCATGCATATCCATCAAGTAATCATTTTTGTGGACCTTTGGAGACCCCTTTAGCTTCTAGAAAAGTTAGAGTGAAAGGCTTAATGGATTAAGGACTTAAATATTTAGATTTATGCATCATACTATAGCCATGACGTGATACAAGGTGTGTCACTACATGACCATGAAAAGGCCCATAAATTGTTGAATCTTTGGGGCTCACAACGTGACTGAGTGATGCTCACATCGTGATGTCAGCCAAATGAGATATACGTGACTGAGTTGGCTGAATTGGAGTGAGTCGAGTTGGAACTAGGTCGAGTGAACTCTCACAACGTAACCAAGGGCTGATCACGACGTGAGGGCCTTTGGTTGACATTGTCGGCTGTTGACTTTGACTTTGACCATTGAGTTTTGGCATGGATTGACTTTTTGGTCGAAATTCCATTTTTAGAAGTTAGACTTAGGTTTTCCTTGTATTGTTTGTTAGGAGGTGTTTAGCACCCATTTTTTGGCAATAAGTGTTGTAGGATGTGGTTGACGTGGTATTGAGTTGAGTTATAGTCAACTTTGTGTAACATTCGGACTCCCATATATATTATATATTTATTTGTTTTTGAGATCTATTGAGAAACTCGACGAGTTGGTGCCTCAACTCGTCGAGTAGAGACTGATTTGACCACGTGGGTCTAAGAACCAACTTGGCGAGTTAGAGAGCCGACTCGCTGAGTTGGCGCTGTGAGATGAAACCCTAAATCCCTGGGGTTGGGGCCTATTTAAGAGCACTTATGACCTCATTTGCGCCTCACCAGGTGCCCAACTTCCATGTGTGAAACCTTAAACGTGTTTAGTGAGCTAAGAGAGTTCTAAGGCTAATCTTTGAGTAATTTAGTGCATCTTTTGAGGAGAAGAAGAAGGTTATCCATCAAGGATCGAGGAGGAACTGTTGGAATCAGTGATATATTCTCCAAAGCTTCTGTGGTTAGATCTCATGATTATGGAAGTTTAGGGTTCTTATCACCTTTTTATTGGGACACTGAGTGCATTGAGTCTATCATGAGGTCTAGACTTCAGATCTGGACCTTGTGAGGTCCATAGAGTCCAATGGTCCCAGCTTTATTCAGCCATATAAGAGTTATTGAGCATTAACATCTTTCTTAGAGTTGTATTGGCATTGTGGAGCAAAATATGCCATACATGAACATAAAGATCGAAGCTTTACGTGACATTCGAGCCTTGGGAGCCTATATCTAGAGTGTGGAGGGGTAGATCTGCCTTAAAACGTCTGAATGAGAATTCCAAATAAAGGGACTCATTGAGTCAACGAGCTGACTTGACGAGTCGGCTAGGGTTTTCCCCGATAAGTCTGGACACAGGTAACTCGGCGAGTTGATGGGACAACTCGACAAGTTGAGTTGGGTTTTCGCGATGTTCTGAAGAAACAAGGGGGACTCGGAGTCACATAGATGCACCCGGCGAGTCAGGTCAACATGACAGTTGACTCGAGTGTTGACTTCTGTTGACTTTAGGGTTTGGTCAAGGCAGGGAGAATAGGAACCATGGAGGGGTAAAATGGTCTTTTACCAATTCTAAGAGTTAAGAGAGATAATAACCTAGTTTATTTCGTTTCGTGATTTAAGTGTTAATTAGAGATTATTATCTTATGTGTTAGGCGAAGGCAAGTACGAGAGTCGTGTACGAGATTATTACTTGCTAGCTTACTAGGTGAGTCTTCTCACTATACTTTACCTAAAGTGGTAATTGTTTGACCTTGTATTGTGATATCCTGCATTATGTCTTTGTGATTTGTGTTGTGTATTATTCTGAGCTACTGAGTTAGGGCCGGAGGGTCCACTCGAGCTGTGGGACGAGAGGGCTCTGGTCCCATTGAGACAGATTGACCGGAGGGTCTTATTGATTTATAGCCCCGAGTGTCTAATAAGTTGTGTGTGGTATTATGTGTTATGTGTTTCATGTACCTCTCAGGATCACGTGAAGGCACAAGCTTGATTGTACATACACACCCGAGTTGGAGCTATGTTTTTGGAGGATCCTGGATTTGTGATATATTCAGTTTTGGAACATGTGTTTTGATAACTTGATACTTGTGGGATTTTTGTGATTTTGAAATGAGATAATTGTTGTTTTTTTTAAATGAAAATTTTGTTTGAAAACTTACGGTGTTACTCTTTGTAAGTCAGGCGAGTCTCCTCACTGTACTTGTGGGTCGAAGATACCAATATCGACCCATTGGATTATGTTATGTAGGAAGACCAGGCGGTGGCACCTAGCAACTGTACGAAAGACCTGGATATGGCTCCCAACAAATTGTATGCAAGACCAGGTTCTGGACCCTAGTAGCTATATATAGGAAGCTAGTTGTCATTGTGATGCTTGCATGGAAGACCAGGATGTGGCTCTTGACACTTGTTTGTAAGACCTGGGCTTTGACCCCGGCTTGGCAAGGAAAGATGATATAGCCCATGACATGATAGTAAATTGTAAGACTATGGTTGGCACATAACATTATCTATTCTATGTATAGTATTTGGTATTTTGGAGAACTTACTAAGCTTTGTGCTTATAGTTTTATGTTTATGGTTTTAATTAATTCTGGTTCCAAAGGGAAGGGCCCGATGGGACTGCATAACATCCCTTAGAGTTTTCCACATTGACTATTTATGATACTATGATGTTGAAATGATATATTCACTTTGATTGAGTTTTGAACAACTCGTCTGTATAGGTTTAATGTTTTAAAATGATATATTCACATTGTGCAAGACTAGTTGACATGACTATTTTTTAATAATAACGTATAAAAATATTTTTCTTGAAAAAAAATTATACCATAACTATAAATATATGACCTTGAATTTGGAGGCCCTTATGATTGGAGGCCTCGTACAATTGCACCACCCATACACCCCATGGTCGCGGATCGCCACTAGATCCTTTGAAAAATAACATAAATGCATGTACATGATAAAACAAATTACTAATATGATGGGTGAAGATTAGTCACTTAAGAAGCTGAATTTGGTTTTGTATTTGCTCCAAAATGATGGATAAGGAAGGACGGATACACAACTTATAATAGTGTTAAGTTATAGTACTAGTCTAGGACTTGAAAACTTATATGCATGTCATATTTAAGTATTCAAATGTGTTGATGGTTGAAATATCTAACATGTTGGTTCTTGAATATTTGGAATGTGTAATATACGACGTTGAAAATTCAATCGTTGTGAATTTTTTTTATTTATGTACATATTTTTGTTTGTTTGTTAATTTTGTGAATATCAGAGAATTACCAGGGAATGTTGGTGATTTTATTGTCATGAACATATTATGTGATTGTAAATTTACATGATTAATACAAAAAAATTTGAATTATGCGGTCCAAAATGTATACATGCGTAAACTTTAAACACATGCCCCCTTCAGAACGAGGGCAACATATTAGCATTTGATGTTTGTTGATAGTCATCCAAAATTGTTTTTAAACATAAAACTATATCATGATGCTTATGCTTTGTGATGAAACTAGTACTATGAATACTAAGTTTGATTCTTGATTTTACAAAAGACTAATAAACAATTTACATACTAATTGATTCTTGATTTTATGACAAACCGGATAAACCATATGAACACATTAAAAAAAAAGACTCTCTTCTCACATCTCGAATCTTGCACTTTTATCTCCCCAACTTTTATATTCCTTCCATTTAATTTTTATTTCGAATTTCGCTCAAACAAATAAGATAGTAAAAATATTATTTCACCCCATTTATAATTTGATCCGAACATGTCGCCACATGTTGGTCAAGGTCTATTATCGATTCTTAGTATAATACAAACACGACTAACTTCATACAAGTAGAGTTGGGTTTAAATTCAAATCATTCTCTCACATCCAATATTGGCTTTACAAGAAAAAAGGTGAAACTTTATACATTTTACAAAGCTAAACAAAAGTTGGTTGTAGATTTGAACACTCAATCAACTACATTAAACTTGATAATAACAAGACATACATATTCCCATGGCTGCACAAATTACTTGATTGAGCCAATCTTATTAAAAAAAACAACTACTTGATATATATATATATATATATATATATATATATATATATATATATATATATATATATATATATATATATATATATATATATATATATATATCGGGTGAAAACACTGGTATTCTTTTCTGAAAATTTTCTTTACGTAAACCTAAAAGGAAATGTAGAAAAGATGAAGGAAGATTATGGATATGTTACCTTTATTAAGCCCTTATCAATGTCAACCCAATAGCTGTAACGATAATCGTGGAAGGAACACCAAATTTGAGATGAGCCCAAAACGTAAGATTATACCCAAAATTTTGTGCACGACGAGCTTGTTCACATACAATCAAATTCGCCGCCGATCCCAGTAGAGAAAGGTTTCCGGCAACCGTACTAACCCACGCCAATATTAGCCACGCTTTCTTCTCCTTCTCCGGCGATATACTAGCCGCCGCCGCCGCCACCCTTGCCCCCAGCAACAGCACTGCAAAATTAAGATCCGGTGTAAATTACAAGAATAGTCATTATCGTATCCCAAAGGTTAATGCTTCAATCCAACTTTTATCTTTGTTTTCGATTTGGTCTCGACTAGATTACATTTTTGGTCTTTGAGTAATTGCTATTTTATAAATTTGGTCCCTAATAGTTTTCTCTTGTGATTTTGGTCCGTTGTTAAGTTTTTTGGCCCCTTTTACAATTCAAATATCTATAATAAGTTACATTTTTTTTTGTCTGAATATAGCTGATTTTTGTTTTTAGTTTTGACCCCAAAGAGTTTTCTTTTGCAATTTTGGTCTTTATTTAAGCTTTTGTAATATTTTTTGGACCAAAACTGAATAAGTAAGCTATACTTTAGGACCATAAACAACCTCTTTATTTGTAACATGTACGAAAAAATGTTCTCAAATAAAGACCAAAATTGCAAGGGAAAAGTTGCAAAAATCAGTGACCCAAAATGTAATTTACTCAAATTAAATCATCGTTTGCTAAATTTGCAAAAATTAACCATACCCAGGGACCAAAAAAGTAAAGTCACTTATAATAAAGCTAAAAATGAGTTTTTAAATGTTAAAAGCAAATCCAAGGTAATGATAAAAAAAAAAGAAGACTAGATGGAAAGAGAGAGATAAATAGTGTACCTGTTGGCACATTTGAAGCTAGATTTGATAGAACAACTATCACAACAGCAAGAATTGCTACACCAGAAATATGATCAATTTGTGCATAAGGCTCCATCAAATCCCACATTGCACTTGGGATTCCTGTTCTATTAAACCCATCAACAGTCACAAACATCCCACAAAAGAATACCAAAAGCGAATAAGAAACCTTCTCCAAACATGGCCTTGCATCCTTAAAATCAACAACCACAAGAGCCAAAGCAGCTGTAATTGCAGTCCATGACATGTTTAACCCCACTAGAAACGAAACCAACATTCCGATCGTAATCACATAAACCCCTGTTTTCCATAACATTATCTTCCATTTCGCAGACTTTTCATCCTTTTCCTCCAAACCCAAACAGGAATCGCCATTCCCGATTCCGTTTCCGTTGTCTGTACCTGTAATGTCTTTTGAGGTGTGGATCTCATCACTTAAAGTTATACGGTTCCTGAGAGTGAGATTATCCAATGTTCCGTTGACACCTGGCGGATGACTCATCGCGTCCAAACTAGCACCAAGTTCGTGAGAATTTTGAGATGAAAGATGTGACATTGTAGCTGGTGAAAATCGATGGGAATTCACGTCTTCTTGAGGTGATACTTCAACAGGAGGTTCTTCTTCGTCTTTTTGAACAGATAACACCTTCCAAAACATACATAACAGAATCAGCGCATTTACGAAAACGCCCACCAACATCGCCATCACAATCCCAAACAAGAATTCCCCAAATGGTATCTTGCTTTGAACTGCTATCACAAGGTTTTGAGGGTTGCCTATTGGTGTAGCGGATGACCCGATATTTGCACTTGAAGCAAGTGCTAGTAGAAACGGATGTGGTGGAAGGTTTTGTTGTCTTGCTATTTTGAGTACGAATTCAGTTAACACAACACATGATGTGTCGTTAGTGAAAAAAGCACTGGAAACAGCGGATATTAAGCAGATTCTACAGAGTAAGTCTTTGGATCCTTGACTTTTCCATGCGAGTAACTTACCTAAATATTTGAACATATCTGCTCTTTCCAGATAAACACTTACAACCATTGTACCAAAGAGGAGGCCAAGGATTGGAAGATCAATGGAAGCGTAAGCTTCATCTGGAGTTATTACTTGAAAAAGAACCATGAGCATGGCACCAAGGAGAGACCCTGCTGTTCTTCCGATTGGCATAAAAGGGACAGCAGGAAAAACCGCTAATACCCAAAATACAGCGAACGCGAAAGAGCCTAGAAACACTTTGATGGGAGGAGCCATAGCCATTTTTTTGCAAGAAAGCTTAGATTCTCACCAATTAGTTAACACTCAAGTCTCTTACAAGTAAGCTCAAGCACTTCATGAATGATCCATATCAGTTGGTTTTTTACATGACAGAAGAATCACCCTGAAATAAACAAGAGAATCGTTATCAGATAGTTAGTAAACTGTTCAACTTATTAGATAATTAGAAATTTTTGAAAATGTAACAAACATCAATTAGTTCAAATGCACTAAATAGACGATTTTCATCAAACACCAGGAGTGGAAAGCGCAAGTACTAGAACAGAGTCGATCAATGCACAGAAAACTAGAGCATAAACTAGCACAGAAGACGATAATGATGATCCATGAAGGTTAGGGAGAAAATTTAATCAGCATGACATCATACCTAACTCAAATCTTCTCGCTCGATTCGTCGAAATTCAAAGAAAATACGACTGTGAGACGATATAGACTAAAAACCGGAAACTCGTATTCAAAATCGCGCTCGAATTTTATCAATTAAAAAAACAGCAACTAGATCACTCTAGTAAACTCGATTCACAGAAAGGACAGGCAATGAGATTGGATAAGCTTACGTGATGTAGTAAGAAGCTGAATCTCAATCAAACAAGGAAATCCGGGGTTGATGATTTTATAAAAGAGCCAAATCATGAATTGAACTTCTTCTGCGTCAGAAAAATATAAAAAAATGTTGGGATTTGAATAGGGTGAAATCGAGAAGGCTTGTCATTATGTGATTGTAGGTGAGGGAGAGAGAGACAGGAGATTGACAGCTTTTCATGACTTGACTACGTCATTGAAAAAAGATAAAAACGAACAAAATCTATGAACCACCTTACGACCATCATTAATGTTTTACACCTCTACAGTCAAAACCCGAACAAAAAATCAAATCACATTATTGATAAAGTTGCAATTTTCGTCCCTGTGGTTAGGCTGTTTTTATGGAAACGGTCTAGTTTTTTCATTAAAAAATGATTATCGTCCATGAAAGGTTTATTTATACCGTCTAATTTAACAGTTTAACGGTTAAATCTAAAAGAAAATGATAATTTTACACCTTCATCATCATTCATCAACGCCTATCTTTTTCATCTTCTCTTGTATCATGATATTAGAAAAAAAAAAAAAAAAAACTTGGAAGACTGCTTTAATTCATCTTTTCATTTTCTTCGGCAACAAAAACAACATTACTTAATTTTTTGTTTCTCCTTTTAGTCATTGAAATGAAGCAACATTGATGGATGATTCACCAAAGCTCTAGCATCAACCAAGTGAATTCTAGAATATAAATTTTTTAATTTCTAAACTTGATTAACAAAGAATTCGCCTGCAGAAGTGGAATTACCTGATAGACGATCTTGGTGGTAAAAACCAGTTACCTATCTCTTCCTTGGATCAAGATGAATCAAATATCAAAATTTGAGCATGTTTTTTGTTGGAATTGAATTTTGTTCACCTATCTATGAAATCACCAACATTAATGGGTCGTGGGTTAATTGATAAATACAAATGTAGATCACAAAAGAAATCAAGAAAGTGGAGTTAATGGGGACGAATAAAATATAATGGAGTAAACTTAGTTGTAGATTGGTGGAAGGAGGGGTGATTTGAAGTTTGATTCGTTTTTTTACTCGAGGAAGAAATTGGCAAGAAGGTGATTTGAAGTTTGATTTTATTTCTTTCTTTCTTTTTTTTTTTTTTTTTTTTTTTTTTGGGTTAAAATTTATAATTTTGAATAAGGAGGGGAGGGGGATGACTCATGTGGATGAAGATGTAAAAAAGTGACTAAAAGGACGTAAGGGATTAGTTGTATTTTCGCATAGGTTTAACCGCCTCCATTGATGTCATTCATCATAAGGACTAAAAGCATTGCAAGTAAAATTCTCAAGGACGATAAAAGTTAAAATTCAAAAAACTGGACCAGATTCATAAAAAACTGGACTAGAAACTGTATTTTAGTAAAAATTATTATTTGATACATTTGTATAAGTGTTCAACTATTCAAAGCATGTAGTTCTCCTTTTTAAACAAACTAATACTTATAAGCGGAATTTTAACAACTGTATTAATAAAAATTAGTTATTGTGGTATTTATTGGTAGATAAATATATAAGGTTGATATCAGTAACTAACTTCAATGTGTACTCTTGTACAAAAAGGTATTCTATGTGATCAAAGACATGTAAACGTAAATAAAAATAAACATGAAAACGTACATAAAATTTATGTCGAAACGTAAAAAAACTTGAACTTGTACTGAAATATAGATAAAAATAAGGAAGCTTTTATTTTTAATCGGATGTTTTAGAATAATTTACATATATTTATATACTTATCATTTTATGTTATTTTTTAGCAGGGCAATACACACTAATCCTATTTCTAATTCTACATCTTTTGTTCACCACGGGATTCGAAATCCCAACCATTTAAAGTAGGGGCACCTTTTAAATACACCTGATACTGCTGAATTACAAGGTTTTTATATTTTCGTACTCATGAGTGATACTGAAACCAAACAATACAATAAGGATCATTGGTACACCATCTCCTTATTGGTACCTTCTTTTTGTGCTAAATAATTTCTAACTAAAAATGAATATACGTGCAATTATGTAAAACTCCATTTGACAAACCAATGCTACACTCATTGGATAGCTAGCAACTCACTTGAAATTATTTCCAAAAAATATATTTTAATCCGGGTTTTTTTTAGAACACCGATTTATACACATTTTAATCTACATGACTTATCTATGTTTTAAATGAGACTTAAACCTTCAACTTATTGAAGTGATGAAATCTTAGTATAATTCTATTCTAGACCAAAGGTCTATTGGTATTTTGGTTTGGTTATTATTCAAACTTTTGGTTTTTTTGAAACTTGTTGAACAGTATGTTTTTTAGAACCGTCAAAACGAGGAAACAAAGTTATTTGACAAGACCGTCTCTCAATTTTATTTTTGGATGTTTAATAGGAGCAATAAATGTAAAACAAATTGAGATGGTTGGCTTTATAATGAGTCTTATCTTCTCTTTGTAACATACTGTTCTTTCTAAAATTTTATTAATATGTTAATAAAATTGTTTGTCTGACAACAAAAAAAAGAGAAAAAGCGGAATTTATTTAAGCACCATGTGAAACTTGAACAGTATGAACATTCTATATCTGAAAGCATACAGAAAACATAAATAATTAAAAGAACTTTGTTGATCGATGAATGTTATAAATTTACATCAATCATACATATCTACAAAACTTATGGCATTGTAACTTTGTAAACAAAATCTTTTGGAATTACTGTAACAATATATAATAGTTTTAGATCTTCCAATGAGAAATTAACATCTATTATGTTATAAATAACTGTGAACGAGATTATAAAAAAAAGGTCTAAGAACGATGTAACATAGACTTATAAAAAAATGCATACCCGGAGAGAATTTCAAAGCACGTTGGATTTGAAAAAGTTATAATTTGATAGCAAAATTGAAGGAATATATATACAATAGTTCCCGAAAGCTAGGTGTATTAAAAAAATGAAAAAGAACAGATAACATAAATGACTTCCTACTCATCTTCTCATTATCAAATAAATTGTTTTTAACTATCAACTAACAAACAGAAGTAACAAAAGTAAAATTAATTAGGGTGGAAGTGGATGGTTTGACATTTAAAAATCTTACAAAATCTACATAACAACATTATTATCTGGATTTTTTCTTGCTTAACCATTCAAGTGCTTACAGCATGAATTTTTGCTTATAATTATTCTTACGATAAAAGTTCTCGAATTTTTCCTAACATCAATAAAATATACAAAATTTATATTCACATAAACTTTACACACATTTTAGTATCCACGTAATCAACCAATATTAACATAATAGTTTATTTACGTTTTCTATTTTATTTCTAAATATATTGAGAAGTATGAATATGAATTCGTAATATGCATAATTGGTTTCGACGTGTTATATTTGTTAACAAGTACTCATGTATACGTGTTTGTAATGTACGTGCATTTGGCCTTTGGCCCATTGTTTGTATTACGCCCTTTTTGTATTATGTACCCTTTATATTGTTTTATGAATGAGAAAATACACAAGATTTCTTTTACCAAATAACAGAGCCAAATAACTATCTCTCCTAAAAATCCACATCTCTTCTTCTATCTTTATCAACAAAGCTTGTAGGAAAAGAATGGCTGTCTTGTTTATAGGACTGTGTTGAGCTAAAACACGATATCTAAAGCCTCTTTTTTTAGTTGAAATTAAACACGTTCTTAAAAACAGAAATAGAATGACTTGCACATTAAAAGAAAAGACATTAACCCATCAGAGTAAATGGCTTTTGGTTCCTAACTATCTCAACTTTTTATATATAACCAATTTCTGGTTTTGGGCTCTCGTCTTATATCTCAACTATCCATAACTTTTTATATATATGTTTTACTTTAGAGTGTTAATTAAGTTTTCATGTAACCCATTGCCTAAAAAAGGTTAGAACATAAAGATAATAGAAAAATATGAATTCATCGATTTATATTACTCACGTAAATATGCAGATCCATAACATAGTTGTGTCCTTAACTTCAGAAAGGTTATCAGTTAACCAATCCACAAATCTCTAATTAAGGTTAGCTACACCTAATTAACACCATTCGTCTTATTAATACTCATAAATCATATATTTTAAGACCATAGGAAGTAACCATTTGTGTTAACTTGTAAAAAAATTTGTAGCACAACCCATTTTTAAATTGGTATCACCAATAAATATAAAATGTTATAAATAAGGTTTAAAGAAATTGTACTCCTTTAATGATCTCAATTTCAGATCTAATTCATGATTAAAGCTTCAATTAAGCTTAACTCACACAAGTGATCGATCACTTTGGACTTTCCTCAATTAAATGAAGAAGTTTATTAGGAATGAGTTCTAACACCATTTACGTACCAGTTAATCAAATAATTTGTTTTAAAGTGATTTCAAT